TAGAAATCATTGATTTGACGATGCAAAAGCGAATTTATATGCAAGATTGATATAGGGTAACAAAAATTGTGCCAGAAGTCCCATTTTGTCTCTACTATAGTGATCGGAATTGAACGATTTTAATACCATTCGATTCGTCTCATTATGACAAATCGAATGATATCAAAATCGTTCGATTCTAATCACTAGATCACGAGTTATTGCAAATTAAATCAAATGCTAAAAAATCAATAAATTTAGATGCATGTACCAATTATGATACACACATGATATCTTGTGTTCTAGTGATCAGAATCGAACGATTTTGATACCATTCGATTCATCTCAATGAGGTGAGTCGAATGATACCAAAATAATTCGATTCTGATCGCTACATCACAAGTTATAAGTGATTAAAGATTAAATTTTAATAATCTAAAAAAACTAATTTGATGTATTATTAGCGATTATTTAACTAAGTAAATCAACTTCATTGTTAGATAATTTTGTTCAGCAATATAAGTTCTACTTATCTCTAAATTTTATAAGAATTGAATAATTTTTTACTAATTAATTTTTATAAAATACGTTTTTAAACCAAATGAATATATTATAATACAGATACGTTTTTTACAAATATTAATTAATAAAAATTTATCAGAATTTTATAAAAATTTAGAGATAAGTAAAATTTGTTATTGCGAACAAAATTGTTTTAATAATGAAAGTCGATTTATTTAATAAAAAATACTGCTATTAATGTATTACGATTAAGTCTTATTTAAGTCTATAATTTAAAATTTTGTTTATTTTATTAAAGCAAAGATATCTCGTGACCCAGTGATCAGAATCGGGTAATTTTACCAACATTCGATTCGTCTCGACAAGGCGAATCGAATAATAGTAAAATTATTCAATTCGGATTACTGGATCACGAGATATCACATGTGCGTCATAATTGGTCCTGCGTTATAATACCCCTTTTACCTTATATCGGGATAATAAAAGATGCCCATTATTTAGCCAATATTCATTTTGTATTCTCTTAATATTTATCTTTTATACTGCTATAGATCTGGCAAACACATGTAGAAACCAGGTAGATAATTATTATATAAAGAATTGATATTAGGATAATTATAGATACCCTTTATTTATCTAATATTTATCTTTTATGTTGTACCGATATCTATTCTTTATGTTACCATGGATCTGCCAAATAACTGTAGCAAAACAGATTAATAATGGATACATAAAAGATAAATATCGTGACATAAAAAGATTCACTTTATTTATCTGATATTTATTCTAGATATATTGATATTCATCTTTTATACTGTTATAGATTTGGCAAACATATGTAGAAACCAGGTAGATATTTATCATATAAAGGATTGATATCAGAATAATAATAGATACTCTTTATTTATCTAATATTTATCCTTTATGTTGTACTGATATCCATCCTTTATATTACCATGGATCCACCAAATAACTGTAGCAAAACAGATTAATAATAGATACATAAATTATAGATATCGGGATGATAAAGGGATACTGATATGTATCCTTTATATATTTATTGAACCTGTGTAAGTTTGTATATTATATTTGATCTCTATCTAGTTGAGGATAAGTGCTTTTTTTTTTTAATATAAAATAGAATATTAGAATATTGCTTAAATAACTATGCTGCTGATAGCAGAAAAATCTTATTTTTCTATATCTATTGGTTACAAGCTATCTAAAATAGTACTAATCTTTAATATTGTCGTTAAATTTAGCAGGACTTACTAAAATTAGTTTATCAATACAAGCCAACATGCTGCCAAATGTTTAGTCATGGTGTTTGGCAAAAGTATTGTCAATGATTATTTGCAAATATTCTATCAATGTGAGATACTATTTTATGTTTAAACACACTATTTGGGCCAAAGCAGTATTGGATAATTGCTTGCTTCAAGCTTTACCTACTTGAATTAATAAACAAACTGGGTTATTAGTATAAAATTCTATATCAGAATCTATGTATACTTCAGTCTTGTATTGTTTGGTACTAATAGATATACTGTATTTATTCTTATTTTAATTTTGTTTTTTTGTTTTTTTTTTTAGAGTTGTATATAAACTTTGTTAATTTACTTGAGTCTATTTCTATCAGTAACGATCAGCTTTTATTCTATTGTTTTTTTTTTCTTTATTTTTATTTTAATTTTAATTTTTTTTTTTTAGTTTGTATATTTTTTATTAATTTTTGGTTTATATATTTTTTATTTTATTTTTTGTTTGTATTTTTTTTTTTTTTTTTTAGCATTATGCATTTAAAGAATCCGGTAGTATAGGTGAAGTTATTGGTGCATTTGATATTAATACAACCGCAAATACTATATATAAGTATAATTTTGAAAAAAATGGTTCGCCCTCGATCCTTCATCAGGTATTTTTTTTTTATTATCAACTCATTTTCTCTTCTGAATTATAAGAATCACAAACCATTACTTTTTATTTTATTTCAAATAAAGCGAAACATAGAATCATTACCATTAGAATATTATGATTCTTATAAAGCTGACATATGGTTAATGTCACCACCATGTCAACCATATACACGAACAGGACTGCATCGAGGATCAGAAGATATTCGTTCCAAATCATTTATTTATCTAGTTGATCTATTGGCGAAAATGAATAATCCTCCAACTTATATATTAATTGAAAATGTTAAAGGTTTTGAGGTTAGTAAAGGAAAAAGAAAAATCGCTAGCTACAACATTTTGGATTCTTTATAATGTTTCATTGATGTTGTATTATTAAATAGGAATCAGAGACTCGAGCTACTTTAATAAAGCAATTAAAGAACTGTCATTACAATTATCAAGAATTTTTTATTACACCACTACAATTGGGAATTCCTAACTCAAGGCTAAGATATTATATGCTAGTATGTTAAATTTTTAGTTCATTTGAAAATATGCATGTTTATATTTTTTTCAGAATCTACTGATTGAATCTTGAAAATTGATTATTTTAAATAGGCAAAAAAACAACCACTAGAGTTTAAAAATTCGGATAATTCTAAAATATTAAATCATATCCCTTGCTCATCGTATGATCAAGATTTTGTTGACATTCGAAACACAAATGATTCAAAATTAATTGAGGAAAAAATAATTGATTCTAAATTAAAAATTTCTCCAATAGAGAAGTATTTGAAAATTATTGATGATGATCGATATTCTATTCCTAGCAAGGTTTTAAACTTATTATATTCATGCGAAAGGTTTAATTTCATTTTAACATAAAACTTATTGCGATTTAATCTATTAGGTTTTGCTAAAGTATGGAAAATTGTTTGGTAATTTACGCCTTATTTCATTATTCAATATTTATGGTATGTTTAATCTAAAATAAAATTATAATTATAGACATAGTAAAACCATCGTCAACTAGAAGTTGTTGCTTCACAAAAGGATATTGTCATTATGTGGAAGGCACGGGATCTATTTTGCAAATGAATGAAGAATTAGATGTAAATCTATTCTTGTTTTTGTATTATCCATTTGGTTTTTTTTTTTTGAAATATTTACTAATATTAAACGATTAAAATAAAAGGCATTTCAATTATTTAGGCAACAATTATCAAGTAATGACATGTTGGCATCGCTGTCTTTGTTAAGACTTAGATACTTTACTGAACAAGAAATCTCTCAAATAATGGGATTTCCAAAAGAATTTTTATTCCCCGATGAAATTACATTAAAACAAAGATATAGAGTTTTAGGAAATAGCATAAACATTAATGTTGTTTCAGAATTAATTAAATATTTATTGTTTGATTAATTGTTAGATAAATATAATAAAAGCTATTAAGTTTACAAAATTGTGTAAATTTGAAATGATTAAAAAGTACAATCAACTCTAACTAATTGTGGATAACTGATTAATAAACTTTAAATTTTATTATGAATTTTCGCGTAATAGTTCCATCTACACGCCATTTTTGTTCAGTATAAGAACGTTATTTAGAATACGTGCATGTTATCACTTTGAGGCAGAGATAGATTTTTCCTAAATCTGTGCATTTATAGAGTTATGTCGAGAAAAACATATCCTAGCGAAATGTCTTAAGTTTTCATAATTATCAAGAGATTTGCAGAAGGCTAATTATTGGTATCAAGCATAAGACTATTCATTTCGTTTCTTATAATTTTCAAAAATTATATTTAGGGAAATACGATTGAACAGTCTGGTTCACGCCTGAATCTAGTGCAAAGCAGCTTTCGAGAGCATTGAGTAATCCTTTTAATAAGTATCTAGCTATAATTTTGGGTACTGAATAGTATACCTGAAACATCACGAGTGGAAATTTTAAATAAGTGACCTGTCTGGTATTCTTACACCACCCGGCAAGGACGTGGAAAAATTTTGCTCTACTGTGGGACATCCAAAATTAGTGACCGTAAGTGCTATATGTAAGATGCTAACTATTACATTTTTACAAAACAATATTTCAAAATGATTTTGTCATCGATTTTTATGTTATCACTTTGTAAATTGAGAAGCTTGATTCTGCGAATTGATGTTTAGGATTAGAAAATTAGCATTAAAGGCTATAGCGATAGACTGTCACTTATTATACCTATTATCGCTTTTTCTTCTTTCGCATGTGTTCGAGTTGATATATTTTTTTTTCATGTGTACTGTAGTCATGTTTATTAGTCGATAACTATGATAAATTAATGATTGACAAAGAGGTACGTGCCCATTTGTAAAATTACCGTTATTCAACCCAGTATTGTATACAGTTACGATGGGAAAGCGTTTCGGGTCAAGACCAACTTAACTCTAGTCGCAACTTCAGGATATTTTATTAAGGTCAGTTTTTATTAATAATTCATTAGAGACTTGAGATGGACGATCAAACGATGACTTTACAGAGAAAAACCATCGTTTATATATGTTGTAGGTGGAAACGGAATTTAAGTGGATTTGGAATTTTATATTAAAAAAAAACCATTTCATCATATGTACATACTTTAAATTCGATATTTGGTATACTCGTATAACTAAAATTTCGTGCTGAAAACTTTTGTTTAGAAGTCAAACTACTGTTGTCATAGTAAAATCTTGAGTTATTTACGATTTTTTGTTTTCCCATTGAGAAAACTGAAAAATCGTAAATAACTCAAGATTTTACTATGACAACAGTAGTTCGACTTCTAAACAAAAGTTTTCAGCACGAAATTTTAGTTATATTAGTATACCAAATATCGAATTTAAAGTATGTACATATGATGAAATGGTTTTTTTTTTAATATAAAATTCCAAATCCGTTTCCACCTACAACAACAATACTGTTTAACGTAAATTATGGACGTCCCCCAACCATTGCTCCATCGCTCACAAGCATTACTCATCATCCCGCACATTGGTTGTGATTAGGATGGGTTCGGTTACGAACGGCTACGATTATTCATAGACAATTTTCCAAATACTTTGATGATTTTTTATTTTCAGTTTTTAATTAATAAAGTTATTCGGAATTAAATCCTGTTCATCCCATATTATAAGTGAAAAGAGCGATACCTTCCCTGGAACTCAGAATATTACAATTGTTTTCATAAATTCTGGGACACCCTAAAAAAATTTGCTGAAGTCTATTCGGCCGAATTCGATAAGCTATTTATCTCGGTGCTATATAAATGCATACTACATATGTATTTGTTACTAAGATTTTTCAAACAAATTCGTTGGAAAATAGTTAAAAGAACTTAGAAGGCTTAAGTTAGAGTAATTGCTAAACGGTTGGGTATTAACAGGTCTTCTGTGGGTCGAGTTCTCAAACAATTTCAAAGGTATGACTGTGTTGATGAATTACCATCATTTTAAATAAACATTATACATAATTTGAACTTTATTATAATTATTAAGACATTGTCAACAAATATTAATAAATCTTGACCTCTGATTTCAACTTGTGTTGCATTTTTTTTACACTCCTGATCATATTTAACCTTTTTTTTTTTATTAGTGCAATATGGAGTGTTACGTATTAAAAAGGCAAATTTTCAAATTTATTTTTTATTTTTGTATAGATACAGTATATTTCAATAAACAAGTTACCAAAGATAATTATTATAAAAAGATTCACAAAACGAACTTGGAAGTTTATATGTTTATTAAGAAAGTCCAACTTATGTTCAAACCTTTTTTAGTTAATTGGCAAGAACAGTTTTTGGCATAAATTTTTGTATCATACGTATTGGATAAGGAAAAAAAAATTTTTTTAATAAAGTGTTGAAATAGTTGACGTTGCAAATGTAATATAATATTGATCGAACAATGTGCTGTAATAATAGTAACTCAATAATTTTTTTTATATACTGATCACATAATCATACCGAAATCAATAACTTATCAAATTCGGCCGAATAGACTTCAGCAAATTTTTTAGGGTGTCCCAGAATTTATGAAAACAGCTGTAAAATTTGTTAACATCATAGCCGGCTATTAGCCGGCGGTTAGTAGCCGGTTATGACGTTAACAAATTTTAAAATTCCGAGTTCCAGAGAGAGTATCGTTCTTTTCACTTATAATATGGGATGAACAAGATTTAATTCTGAACAACTTTAATTAAAAACTCAAAAAATAAAAGATCTTCTCAGTATTTAGAAATTGTCTAAGAATAATCGTAGCCATTCGTAGCTGAACCCATCCCTAGTTGTGATTCCATGCACAGATCATACATATACCAAGCCCCAAATACTAGTGAGGAGACAACTGGAGCGCTCCTAGTTCTAGCAATCACCACCAAAAAGAACAACCAACAAACCATTGTACCCAATAGAGGTGAAGCGGTACGATTTGGCAAGGCTAAGACGTATCAGTATATGGTGGGAGCTAAAAGAACAGGTTATACTTGTATAAGCACAATCTATCTCGTGTCTCTTTTTGAAGGCAAAACAAGCACGTTTTTTATAACAAATTATATTTGGGGAGAAAAGAAAAGAACAAGATCAAATTTTTTCATCTGAACCATGTTATGCCATTTTAATTATTTACAACCAATTTGTTCCTTTAGTTTCACTAATAATTCCCAACTGGCTTATGCATCTATAATCACGATCGTAGATCCCGATATACTAATTAAAGTTTCCTTTTTCAATGAGCCAAATCAGAACGACTATGGCTTTTGTTTATGGGTGGGCTGGTCCATGGAAAGTTACTACTCACATTATGGATCTGGATGGTCTTCTGTAATCTTGATATATGATTAGGGGATTAAACTTATATACTTTTTTAATGTATACTCTAAATTCTTATAATAATTGCACTTATATAGCATTAAATTATTTAAACGTAATTTAATATTGACATGTCAATTATATATTATTTTTATTTTCAATTCGTGATAAAATTTTTAAAATCTGGATTTACGTGGTATTACAATACACTCTTCCAAAACTGATCCTGTCAAAACCGATAACCTGCTATAACTGATAGAAAATATTTGTTCAAGAATTCAAACCCAATAACCTGTCATTTCTGATATAACCTGGAAATAAATTTAGCCCCTAAAAAATTGATGATCAGTGTTTCAGTAATATCCAATGTTAAAATTATTGAAATTACGGTAATTTCAGTAATACCATTATTGTATATTACTGAAATTATCAAAACGCTGAAGGGCTAAGTTTTATTTTCAGTTTTCATTCATTTGCACCAACTATATTTATTATCCCTTAAACTGTAGGCAATTCCAGGCAAATTTGTCTGGAAAATTGCTATAAATTTGCTTATGATTTACTTTTTTTAAAATTTAAAATATTTA